TCAGAGTTAGAACAGAAAAGCTGTTCCTGTAGAATTTTCACTTTTAGGTGGTTGCAGTGCTGAAGAAGCTCACAGATCAGACATCACCTCTGTCAAAATTCTGACCCTAGATCTTGAAGTTGTTTCCATGGCTACTTCTGCTCATACATGATTTAATAGCCCTGAATTAATCTATTATTATCTCTGAAACACCTCTTAAAAACCAAGACATAAAGAGATACAGAGGGCTGCTTTTCCTTGATGCACTTCTGATATTCAGTGTGGGTTTTTTTTGCATTGTGTTTTTCTCTCTCCTTTCTGTGTTCCAAGCTGATTTTCCCTGCAAGTCTACAAAATGACAGGACATGTGTGTGCACACATATTTGTGTGTGTGCCAGTTTATATAAATGTATATCTGTGATGCTCCATAGTGTCCTGTTTGGGCTCCGAGACTCCAGGGCAACCTGTAAACACCACTTTGTGGTGATGTTTACAAACATTCCAAGTGTCAGCAGCAGGTCAGCTTTGTTGTTGTTTCCACGAGAAAGAAAATACATTTCAAAGTCTGTTGGCTTGTCTTTCGTTCTTCCTCTACTGATTTCTGGTTCTGCAGCAGTTTTTCCCCATGTATTTGTCTCTAAAAAATGCTGCTGGTGAGGTGGTGCTGTTATGGGGTGGTGATATTGAGACCCAGTGCTTGGATTCAGCACTTCCATTTCCAGTGGTAGCACCATTTTTTTTCTACTGGTGGATTCTTCCCTTCTCTTCTCAGAGTTTCCATGGCAAAAAAAAAAGAAGCCCCAGGACATTTGATAAGTCTCTCTTCAGTATAGTTATTTCATTATCAGTAAAGATTTAGTAAAATTATTTCTCTCTGGCACGTTTAGTGTCCAAATTCACGAGCTGTCGTAGGGAGGAAATCAATTCTGTTCTATCTACATCATCCCCTTGAAATAAGATTCTGAGGAGAGAAATTTAGGAAATTTGGGGAAAGAAGAGTCCAGAGGCCCAGCTGTGTTTACCCATCTTTTAGATCCCAGGCACTGGTCTGTTGGTATATTTACTTCCCTGACATAATTTTACGAATCTGAATCCAAATTATACCACCCACATGGAGGAAAGTAGAACTTCATCCTTTCTACTGTGGAGGCAAAATAAATACATTGTGCTGTGGAGTTTAATTCTTGTGTACTGTGTCAGTCATCCCTTATGTAAATGATTGCTCCTCTTGCTGGTTATGACTGAGAGCTGGTGTTTTCGTTTATTTATTTTCTGGTAATGTGAAACGAACAAGTTAGACCATTTCTTTCATGTCAGACATGATTTACTGGCTGTTGATAGTTAGAATAAATTAATTTATTAAAGTAAACCCGTGTATAATATGTACATGCTCTCTCCTGGGCAGGTTTGTTGCTGTAGCTTTGGTGTGTAAACAAATTAGAGAGAACCTTTCATAGTGGTTTGGAAGTGCTAGACACTTCGCTTAAACTGTGAATACTTGGTCAAGTGAATGGGAATTTGCTTAAAATTTATAAAAAAGTAAATACCTTGAGAGATTTTTGTCAGCCTTTAAGCCTGTGCTGTTAGGTTAGACCTGTTGGGAGCTGCCAGTGGTGGAATGTACCTTGTACCTACACGTGGTTCTAGTTAAGCTCTTTATTTACCTAGGTAGTGCATAGTATTCATTATTTTAAGCTTTTCACCAGTATAAAGTGGAAAACAAAGAAAACATACTGCTATATCATGATAGAGTAATTTACTGTTACATAACACACTGTTACTGTTACATAAATCTAAAATTTGCTGCTGTTTTCAGAATGGTTCCAGTTCCCTCTTTTAGAATATTTGTTTCTATGTATGGGGTGAAAAAAAATGGGAAAAGTTTAATTTACAGAGCAGAACACTAGAGTGAAATAAATGAAGTTGAAATAGCTACAGTTTCTGTGAGTTGTTCTGTTTGAATTAACTGGGGAGAGACAGAGCCAGTGAAGCAGCTGTTCCCTCTTTGTAAAAAGAGCATTGCTCACTGATTGGAATCCAAACAGAAGTTTGTCCAAAAATCCCTCCATGTTGGCTAAATCCAAGGAAATTTGCCTTGTACGTTTGAATAGATTATTTTATGACTTCGCTAATTTTTTTTTTTTTTTCTTGAACCAAAACTCCTTTTTCTGGGTTAAACTGATCAGTGTATTTTGCCTGGTGTAAAGTGTAAACTTCAGTTGAACAATAACGTTGCTATTTTGAATTTTACACTTTCAGACTTCAAAGCAGTGTGTCATGTTATTTATTATAATAATCACCCTCTATGAAGCGACCAAAAATGTTGGCAAATAATAAAAGAAAACAAGGAACTGCAGCAGATCTGAAAAAGAGAAAAAGGTGAAAGAACGAATCAGAGATTTATTGGTCCAAACCAGCAGATAAATAATAAACAAGCTGTGCTTGAATGCCCACTATACTAACAGCCGATTCACTGTGCTAGGTATAGGTTATGGCCAGTATACCCTGACTCATATGTTTAATTGAAATTTCTCCTCCCTGTTCTTCTTACACATTATGGAATTCCTTCAGATCAACTGAAAAAAAAAAAACCACCACCAAAAAAACCCCAGCTAAATCACCAGATAAATTCTTTTACTGGCACAGGTATTTCTGCTTGAAAATTGCACTAAAGTGAAACTAATGGTGCCAGGAGCATTCAAGTGAATCAGTCCTGAAATCAATATAGCATAGGCCAGGTTCATTTGGATACTGTCATTCATCTGAGAAATAAAAAGTTTCTCTAAGGCTGAAGAAAAGCACCTGTTTCAGAAATGAGGAAAGAAAAGGCTAGAAATAACAATCCAAAGAAAGGTAAAAGTGAATCACAAAAAGATAGATGTAATTTGCAGAACGTCTGTACAGGAACTGCATGAGCAGAAAATATGTAATAGAAGTTCCAGATCTCCCCTTTGGGGGAATTTGGTCCAGGCTCTTTGTATTTGATTTTAACCTGCTTCATGAGCCATAATAAAAGCAACTCCCATCTAAATTTTTAAAATACTTGTGCAGGTATCTTCCTTTGTTGAAGAGCAGATTCATTGCTTCTGTCTCGAACCTGAAAAAGGCTTGGGTTTCAAAAACTTCTGTGTTCAAATCTGTGGGTTTGAACCTTTAATCTACTAGCTCACCTTCAAACCTCTGCATCTTTACATCTTCAGATCATTACACCTAGCACATAAAAAGTTTTTACTGCCATCCCCATTCAGAATTCCTAGAAGGGGTGACAGGCCCTGTGTTTAATGTGCTCTCAGTCTTGTTTGCCACTCTTTATCACCTTAAAGTGGCCTTCAGATACTGGTTATCTAAGTATCAAGGAAGATGTTGAGATGCTGGAGTGTGTGCAAAGAGGGATGGAGAGCACAAGTCTTAGGAGGGGTGGCTGAGGAAGTTGGAGTTGTTTATTTTGGAGAAAAGGAGGCTCGGGGGGAATGTTATTGCTTTCTACAACTGTGTGAAAGGAGGTTGTGGCCACCTGGGGGTCAGGCTCTCCTCCCAAGTGCTGAATGACAGGACAAGATGAATCGTCCCTCAAGTTACACCAGGGGATGTTCAGGTTGGATATTAGGAAAAATTTCATCCCTAAGGGGATTGGCAAGCCCTGAACAGGCTGCCCAGGGAGGAGTCATCATCCCTGGAGATCCTGAAGAGATGTGTGGACTTTGGGACTTGGTTTAGTGGTGGACTTGGCAGGGCATTGGACTCAGGGATCTTAAAGGACCATCAGCTGAAGCTTGGTATACTTGAATAAGGTTGTATATGATGATGCACTCCTTTGTAGCAGTAGATAGTCTGAGAAAGGTTGTTCCTTGGTTTTTACTTTGGGAGTTAAAAAAAGCGAAGAAAGAGGAAGAATCCTGTTAGAATGCTTTGGGGTTTGCAGACAGAGGAGTTCTCAGAAGCACTAAATATATAGAAAGCTGGCAGTGAGGGATGTGGGTGTAAGAAAAATGTTTCACATAGAAACAAGTGAGCTGGTATCCAGTATTTATGGTGCTGATGTCATGCACCAACACATGCTTGTGTTTATCAATAGAGAGTGTAGCTACTGGATATAACACTGAGTATTATAAATTTCATATCCAGAGGGGGTCAGGTTGGATATCAGGAAGAATTTTTTCCACTGAGAGGGTGGTTAATCTCTGGAGAAGGCTGCCCAGGGAGGTTTTGGAGTCACCACCCCTGGAAGTGTTCAAGCCATACCTGGACGTGACATTTAGTTTAGGGGTTGTGGTGGGGTTTGGTCAAAGGTCCAATGATCTTGGAGGTTCTTTCCAGTCTGATGATTTTATGATTCTACAGTCTGATACCAGTTGATACAGGCTCTGTCTGTTCTGAAACATGCAAAACACAGAATGCAAAATTAGCTTGCATGAGCAGCAACATGAAAATCAGGATTTTCTGTGTCAACAGCAGACAATCCCTCATGTTTGGAAGCATGGTGGGAAGCAGCTAGTCAAGATTTAAACATTGGTTAACATGGCACTGAAAGAGAGCTTGAGCTAGAGTATCCATGACATTCCAATCAATACAATTTCTTTTTTTTGATTTTTTTAGATTCATTTCTCTCTTGAAGAAAATACAAGTATGTTTGTTCTGTAAAATTTGCCCAGGTACAAAACAGGGAGGAAATTACTTTAATTTACTTGCGTTTAATTTTTTTTTTAATTCCACTTGAAAGTAAGAATTAACAGAAGTTCATATCAATACGCATCACACAATAATTTTAAGGGGTTTTTTTTCCACAGTTGGAAGAAATAACTAGAATGTGGGTTTTGTGAAGCTGTTTTGTTTTGTTCTAATGGATTGGAAATCCTGAGCAACTGATGCACATCGACTTTTTATTCTTTTTTCCATATTCATCCTACAGATATGTGGACGTTTCCATGGTTTAGGAAATGCTGTGCTGAATGCAGTTCATGATGGGGCTCTTCACCTTTTTAGCTGCCTTATTCAGTGTGTTTTTATTGTATCTCCTCTAGAGTGATGCCATGGCCTCATCAGGGCTCTTCTTCAAAGATGGCAAAAAGCGCATCGATTACATCTTGGTCTACAAGAAATCAAGCCCACAGGTGGAAAAAAGAAGCACATTTGAGAAGAATTTGAGAGCAGAAGGGCTGATGTTAGAACGGGAGGTGAGTCTTGTAGCTTATATGTGGCATAAACCCCCCTTTGTAACACTGTCCTGCTTTACTGAACTGATAAAAGATTCCTGACAGTCTTACAAGCCTTTCCAGTCAGGCTGTTCCCATCATCTGTTTAACTGCATTGAATTCATAATAGGAATTTTTGGATTTAAAATGATTTGGGCATGTGTGGCTGAGCACAGGGGTGTGGTGCAGTACAGAAGAAAAATTCCAGCTTCTAATGCTTGCAGAGCAGAAGAAGCTTCAGTAACCCATGTTGCTGCTTTAATATGCAACCTTTGAGCAGAATACATGATGCTGATTATCTCACTATTTTTCAAAGGATTAAGGTTGTCACTATCTCGTTAATCCATGACTGGTAGTAGAAGTATTAATACAAAAGAAGGAGAACAGAGTCAGGAAAACAGCCTTGGATTTTTGCTGTTTCATGACTTACCTACAAAATTAGTTTATCCTAAAGTAAGATCCTCTACTTCATGTATCTTTCATCCTGATTTATTCTTTTCAACTCAATGGAATGTTCTGTGTTTAAGCAATGAGCTTGCAAGTCATAGCTTACAATACAGCATATAAATATTAATAAATAACCTACCTGACTAAAATTTGGGTTTAAGGCTTTTAGGAATTGTTACAGTCTAGTAGTAAAACTATCTAGTTTTGTTCTGGTTTCAATAAATAGTAAAATCTCAGCTGTTGTCGATTCATAATTACTGACATTAAAAAATGTCTTTTAAGAATCATTCTACATATCAAAGGTTTTAAATTGTCTTCCACTAGTATTTTTTTATCCACATCTTTTGAGAAAAGTAAAATCCTCGAGGTGGTACTATTGAGCTGAGACGTGACTTTATGGAACTGCTAGGTAGAATTATGAACATTTTAAGTGTTATTAACCCTTTAACTACATTTTCTTTTACCTTTACTTACCAAAACTTGCAAACTGCAGTTTTTGGAGGCTTTGATCAGACTCAATTCAAATATCAAAACATCAAAATCTCAGGCAAATACATTTGGGAGAAGGGTGTGGAACTGAAATCTTCTTAAGAGAAGATGAATATAGAAACCTGTGAGGCTAAAACTCTTGTTTTAAGTCCAAATAAATTAGTGATGAAGAATATTTGTGTGGAGTATACCTTGTAATTTTAACCAAAAAAAAAAAAAAAAATCAATCTCAGTTCATACAGGGATAACATTTAAAAGTTCCTAGGAGATATTGCAATTCTTTAACCATTCCCTGGAGATACCATTTTGGTAGGGTGCAACCTGCAGCCTCTCTCAGGTGCTCTGATGTCTCTAGTAACTGAGCATTCTTCTCCTTACATGGGAGACACATGGAATGGTCTTCAAACTGCTCATCTAGGATGATTATGTGGAGATTTAGAATTAAGTGATTTATTCAGTGTAAAAAAAGTGCCTCATAAATGGTTAATCTACTTGACTTGTGTTCATGAGCAAAGATCTTTCCAGCAGATTCCTTTTGTCAGACTCCTCCTTGCACATTATGGAGTTTGTAAGGGAAAAAAGTTCCTAATTTTTATTTGCCTAGCTGAGAGCACTTACCGTGTTTTCAGACTTGCACGCCAACTTCAGACCTAAAAAAATCAGAATTTGACCCTGAAGAATGCTTCTAGAAAGGCAGTTGCCATAAAGGATTAAATTATTAACGTGCTTTTTTGTCGTTGTTGTTGTTGTCACTGCTCTTTACAGCCAGCTGTTACAAACAGTGATATCATGTTTGTTAAAGTTCACTGTCCGTGGGAGACTCTGTGCAAATACGCAGAAAGAATGAACATCAGGATGCCTTTCAGGTACTGTGGGAACTATTTTAAGAAACCTATAATTTAGTGATTTACAGTAAAAGTTCATTACCTACTTAAGGCTGAAATGCAGTCTTTACAGCTCTGTAACCAGCCATGCTCATTTTTGATTTGGAATTAGCGATGGGATAGGAAGAGAAGGGAGGAGAAACAAATAGTCCTGTTCTTGCCACGATTTTGCACAGCACCCTGGGGAGCTTGTTTTCAAACTTACCTCCTGAGTCAAACTGAGCTTATGACTTTAGAAAGCACTGTTAGTAGCTCACACCTTGTTTTGGATGCCCTTGGCAGAGCTTCAGGTGTTCTTCATCTGAGCTCGGGTAATTCTCTGTGATTTTAGGATTTTTCTGAAGTCTTCCCCAAAGGCAAGCAAAATGACAGAAAGGGCTTCCATGTCTCCAGTATAACGTGCATTATCACAATCTGAATAAACTCCAGCTGCTCAGTGTTTTCATGCTGTGGCAGTTGTGGCTCTCCTGCACTGGTCCTAAGCCAGAAACAGTCACTGTGGAGCATCCTTTGCTCAAAACTTGCTTCCCATACCCTTTTCTGTAATGAGTTTCTGCATCATCCCATTAAGCCTTCAAAGGCTTTTCCAAAAAAAAAAAAAAAAGAAAAAAAAAAAGTTTTCTGTAACCGTCATCTTCCATATGGTTAAGAATATCATTATAGTTCCATTTGAGCTTCTCCAGTTTAAATAACACTTGTCAATATTTTAAATATAGTTTATGTACACGTAAATAATCTAAATTCCAATTAAAAATAATTCCTTCTTACTTTTGATACATGAAATCAGAAAATTAAGTTGGTTTTTAGCAGTTTAGTTCTAATTCTTCACAATTCTTCACAACAGATCAATAGTGCCCTTCAGGAAAAAAAAAAAAGGCTGACTTTTGCAATGCTACTTTATTTGCAAGGCATTCTAGGCCATGTTTGTTTGTTATATTAGACATGTAAATATATTCTCTTTATTATTTCCCTGAAGTGTCTTATCCATGTTTCTTTTTCCTGGGCTTTAGGTTCTTTTTATCCCATTCAGTCCAGTACACCAAAAGTAGATAAAAACTTTGCATTTTCCCCACGTTGGGAGTTTTACTGTAGAGTGAAATACATTTATTTGGTAAGAAATAAACCTCTACCTCTGTAATAGAACCGGGAGAAAAAGTAAATTGGTCAACACTGCTTTTCACTTTGAAAAGGTTTTAATAGGAATTTACTTTTCGAGTTTGTGGTTTAGAGGCTTGCTGAGGCAGAGTTATGAAGATGTCTGCATCTTTATATTTGCTCCTGATGGCTTTTCATGGATGCAAAAATGACAGTCTGGACTCCCATGACAACATGATGTGAACGTGCATTTTATAATTTCATTACATGTTCTGCCAAAACCACTTCTGTTGTTTTGTTTGTTTTTTTTTAAGTCTTGAGCTTGCTTGTTTAAACAAACCTTTCTTAACTGGATGGCTTATATTGTTTTCCTGAGGTGGGCAGGGGAACCTCAAATCATCCAATTCTCACACAATTACAGTGAACTAGAGTAGCTTCTTCCCAAAAAGTTTTAGGTCGTCCTTAGATAGATTTAAGGAGGGCTGAGTGGAGAAGGGAGCTGGACTCGAAGGTCTTTGTGAGGCCCTTCCTACCTGAGATATCCTATGAGTGTAAAAAGCAGATTATTTCTCTTAGCCTTTATTTGTTTGATCAGTGGTTTCTGACTGTCCAATTTTAATGTACAGTTGAAAAGAAAGGTAACCCTCCCTGCAATACTTTAATGCTGGACACACTTGTCCTCTTGCACAGTTATGCAAAATTTTGCCTTTTGGTTACAAAATACACCATATATTGGTGTCATACATCAATAACACACCAAGAATTATGTTCATGCTTTTTAGGTTCATTTATAGCTCAATCCAGGAACCTAAACAAAATCAACAGAATTACTGTTACACAGGTTATTTCTCTCTATTGCTGGAAAGTAAAAAATATTTTTTTCTGACCCAAGGGACTACCCAGCATCCCACAACTCTTTTAGCCTGACATTATGCTAAAATGTGTTGGCAGGTATGTAGCATCCATCATTTCTATGATATAAATGGTATCTTGGTGTTTCAGTTGCAAAAGGAATTTTTTTTAACATTTCAGAAGCCAGTCTGTGGTAATCACTGTTGTCTCATATGTAAGGCTGATTTTTGCAGTGCTACTTTATTTCAAAGTATGTGTATATGGTTTCAAACAGGGTTTATGTAAGCTCCAAGGTGAGATCATGACTGAATTGTAACTTTTTAAGCAATTGATAGATATTTTTGTTGAGTGGGTGGTCTCTCAGTGGAAATGAAACTATTATGTATTTCCATAACTCAGATGAAAATTTGTGTCTACAAATATCTCATGAAACATTATTATTATGTGTAATGAAGAAATTATTTGTATCTGTAACTTAGCTGGACTCCATCTATGAGAAAAAGCTAAGGGTAACTAAAGGGAATTAAGGAAGGGTTTTGTTAAAAATGTCTGAAAATCCTTAATCTTCGCTCCATTTGCAATTCTGCCCAGTGGTACCAAGTGTCAGGCTGCCAGCAGCCTGCAGATTGGTGGATAAACAGTTTTCCAGTGGCCACATATTTTCCAGGCAACATATCTTTCTCACTCTTTTTAATGTTTTAATTTCAGTGCTTCTTCAAGGTGAGTAATGTACTTTATTCAGCCTCAAATACTGCCCAGATGGGCAGTTGCAGATCTGGAGGAATCTGCAAGACTGAGGCCCTTGTGAAGGGTGGAGAGAAAAGAACTGTTAAGTGAGTTATTTATTAGCCATCATTATTGCTATAAGCCACAAGTCAAAACTTAAAAAAAAAAGTGAAACTGCATCATTTTAATGATTTACTCAACTACAATTGCATCTTTAAAGTGATTTCGCTTTTTTTCTATAAAAATGCGTGTTTTAGAATGTCCAGCCTTCTTCTTTATTGTAAATGTCCTTTCCAACTGTATCCTACTTGATTAATCTCAGCTGATTTTTGCTGTTCTTTCAGGAAAAAATGTTATTACACTGACTGGAGGAGCAAAACCATGGGCAGGTTGGTGGGTGATGTGTAGCTTCCAATTTTGTCAGATAGTCACCCTGGTAAAGAAAATCCATTCGCAGTTGTAAATTTATCCACGGAGCTTGGAAAATCAGAATATTTTCCCGAAAACTCAAAACGTGTCAGCTTAAAGTGTTAAAATATTCATCTGTAACGAGGGGCAGTACTTTGAAGCTTTGCCATCTGTCCTTTAAAGATTGAGAAATGTTAATACGGGGTGGGGGGAGGAAAGAAAGGCTTATCCTGGCCTTTAAGATTTAATACTGGAGCTATCTCTGCCGTTATCTCTGCTGAATCCAAGGCACGCTTTTTGAGCATGAAGGATACTTTTGAGTGTCTGTCCCAGATTCTGGCAGTCAGCTGTTTGCTTAGGCATGCAAACACATTTTCTCTCCTGTGTGCCGTGGCGATCAGGAATAGACAACGAGGGCTGCTTTGAATTTTTATTGGAAAAAAATTTGCAAGGGGAACTTGCAAAACTCACCTGTAGCTGCCGGTGTAGGGGGTGCTGGGGAGGGAGAATGGGACACCATGAGCTGTAATCTAGTCAGACAGAGCCATGTCCTGTAAATCACAATCACCAGTGGAAAAGACACATGGAAGTATTTTACATGAGGGAAAACTCCTGGAAGAGTTTCCTGTCACGGGGTTTTCTCAAGGTGGATCTTGAGATGAGAGAGCGTCTGATTTAGGTTCCCTGTTGTTGCTTTAGATGATGAAGAGCTCTCATTATTTCTCTGGAACAACTTAAGTGCTCTCATGGTAACAGTTTGCAGGATGATCTGCAAACAAAAACAGGCAAAGCGCTGTTGAATGGTAAAGGGAGAAAACTAAAACACAAAAGCAGATAAAACATATTGAAATGAACCAATCTGCAACATAAATTTACAACTGCGTTTTTTTCCTCTTCCCAGTCATTCCCATGCTTGCTCCATTTCAGCCTGCATTGTGAAAAGTGTAAGTGGTAATGCTTTTAATGCAAAGGCAAAATCAACAGGCTTTACTTCAAAATTGTCTCATTTCATCTGCAATCCATCTGGTGAGTCCTGGATATTAAATAAATTTGTTTTCCTTATTTAGAAGGATATTTTTCCTAATTCAGAGATCTGAAACGTGCAACTGGAGTTGCACTGTACTTGTGAATCAAGTAATAAGCAAATTTTCATGCCAGAGTGATTTTTCATTTGAGACAAATGCTTTTACCTATGATTTCCTTTGTGAGAATTTGGGGATGAATATGTCTCTGAATTATTTTTTTTCTGACACTTTATATAATTCAGTGCACAAAGGAATAATGTGAAAACAAAAAGAAAAAAAGAAAGCTACATCTAAAAATGGAAGCTAACTCTAAAATTGCTGACATACACATTTCATCATTTTAACTTCTACAGCTGTCATTGTTTCCTTGCATCTTACAACTTTTCAAACTCATCTGCTTGTCTGTAATTTATTAAATCTCCTGTTAATATTTCTGAGTTATTAAATAGGGTTTATAAGAGCTACAGTGAAGAACTTTAAAATCCTTGTATATCAAAGGTAAAATTTTAAGGCTATAGAGTTTTTTTAATTTAAGGATAGGAAGTAACACTTCATATACACTGCTATATATATATAAATATATAATATATATATATATAGTATATATATGTATATATGAGTATATTAGACCCTGCTGTGACATGTACACTTCTCTGACTTTATTGACTTGGTTATTGACAGATGTATATATCTATAAATGTTCTTTAAAAAGTCTGCCCAAGATTGTTAGGTGCACAAATGAAAGGAGAGAAGACAAATGTAGTGCTTACTGGTACACTTTCTTTTATGTGGTATCTATTTCTTTATTTATTTACTTTTTAAAAAGTCCCTAACCTTGTACTTAATCCTATGAAGGAGAGGAATATGCAAGTAAATAGTTTAGGTATCAAAAATTGTCTGAACTCTCAGATTTAGGACTAAATAGTCTAATAAATCGGTCTTGAATCTGCCATGTTGGACATGCTGATTTCAGGCCTGTAAACTGAAATGTTGAAATCACTTAATAGGACAGAGAACCGAAAATTACTTTGTTTAGCAGCTGACCTGCAACAAGTTACTACCTAATAAGACCGGTGGAGTTGCTTAATTCTGGTGTCTTAATCCTGTGATTTAGGCAAAAATCTGTCCTTAAGTGAAGGCTCCAGGAAAATTCAGTTCTTCTTCAACAGTAAAATAACATGAGTCAGGAGAAGTGTCTTTCTTGTTGGATTGTTTTTATACGTGGGGATGATGTTCTTTTCAGTTGCAACGTTCTGTGCTATCTGAAGTCACTAAATTTTGAAACGATCAACCATAAGTGATGTAATGAAAAGTCAATAACACCTTAGATAAAAAACCTTTTTGTTCTCAGAAGAGAAACTGCTAATGTAATGTGGACATAAGTATTAATTTATTCCAGTACTCTTTCATGTTAAAAAGAGCAGACATGAATTCTAAATGAGTTAATTTCCTAATTTTTTCATGTACAATTTTTTTTAGATTTTTGTGTGGAAGAAATGATCAAGACTTTTCACAAAATCATATTAAAAATAGTTTCATGATCAAAAAGTCTGAAATGAGATGCACTGTTTTTCTCTTTTTTCTGATGCATCTGCATATTTTTCTCATTAAAGAAAAGTCTGGATTTTGACTAAAAAAATCAGCATGTGTACGACAGAAAAAAAAAGATGGAGAAAATAAAGGCAAACTGTAGTTGCAGACACTGTGTGCTGAGAGAACTTCCACTGGAACTAGTAAAGATAATCAACTCATGCACTAAGGTATTATAAAGGAGGCACTTAAGGGATGCACCTGCCTGGGAACTGTATCTTGTGTTTCAGCTTCATGAACATATTTTATTCTTTGGCTCAGAGTGGTTTGAGTCAAACCCAAGTGGTGTCTCTCAAGTCACAGTTACATGCAGAGTGTGCACCAATACCTTGCAATATATATATAGCAAGAAGAAACTGTTGGAGAATTTTAAATGTGACTGTAACATCCTGCTTCCCCATTTGGCTGGGATTTCTGTCTGGCACTGTGTCAGATAGGGGCAGAACATTTTTGCTGATGTTGATAATGGGAAGTGCATCTTCACAAGGGTCACTTTGCTGCCTGAGAGCAATTTACTTTATCATCACTTATTGCTCTTCATAATGAACATTAGGAAATAATGTTAATGAACATTGTGAAATATTATTAGCAGCATGAAATATAACTTTTTATTATGTTATGAATTGGGTAGCTGTGCTTCTGCTGAGCACAGGCAATGAGCTATTCACCTCAGAGGGAAAAAAATTGTTACTGTCACACTTTTTGGGGATATGAGGTGTATGTTTTATCTGTCATGCATACGTGTTCATTGAGTAGAGCCTGAATTCCACTGAGAAAAATACTATTTTGGGAATGTTTTTCTCAGCACAGTGTAGCACTTGTTTAGTATGAGATCTACTACTTAAATATCCATATTGCATTGCAGTTGAGTGTGAAAAAAGTACAGGTCAGCAAGGAGAGCAAAATTGAAGTGATAAGTAACTTGGAGCATTTGCTTGAAAATTTAATACACTTCACTGTATTTACCCCGAATAATCAATGCCCTGAGACACTATTTAGGCAAGTTGCCAGTAGAAAAAAAAACCACAAAACATTTATGTTGCCATAATGTAATCTAATTGAGGATACAATTGATGTTCTGTTTGTGTTTTGTGGTGTTAATTTTTAGGAATCTGGAGGAAGCCATATCTAGGTTTGTTTGTTTTGTTTTCCTAAATACTATATAACCCTTTCAGTGTAGCGTTATTTGATATTTAGGTATACTGCTTCATAAGGCAATATCAGTTCTTGGATGTTTAGGAAAATTTTGCAGGGAAAAGCTTTGCTGCAGTCAGAAAACCATCATCTGATCCCTAGCACTCTCATATTATTTACTTTTACATTTATGAATTTTACTATGCCAGTCAAGAGAGGGGGGAGGAGTTCCACCTGAGAAAGTAATTAGATATGTTCTTGAGTAAAGCATAAGCATCCACTCTTCTGTCAGGTGAACTACTTTGGAAAATCATTTTTTTTCCCGATTTTTTCAATACTGCAGTCCCGTCTCAAACCACAACCCACTGATTTTAGAACGAGTTGTGCTCGGGTAAAGTGTTGCAAGATGGATTGCAAATAAATATTTTTGCATTCTGCTTGTTAACTCCTTATTCTCTTTTAGTTGCTTAATAATGTGGAAAAACTTCCCGATTCCATTTCATTTCATTTCATTTCTGGTGCCATGTCCCTAACCACGCGGTGCTGGGGATGGAAACACCGGGGAGGTGAGGGTGTGGAAATCTGATTTCTCGCTGTCTCAGCCTGCAGAGGAACATGAGGGAGCTGAAAAGTTGGCTGCCCAGGAACCCAATGAAGCTGGATAAGGAGGCCCTGCCTGACCTGGAGGAGACAGATTGCTACACGGCCCCCTTCAGCCGTGCCCGCATCCACCAGTGAGTGCTGGGGCTGGGGAGGGCAGTGCCAGGGACCACGAGGATGTTCTGGTTCCTCATTTCTGCTGAGCAGCTGTCACAGAGGTAGCTGCTGACAGATGGTCGCTGGCAGATGCCCAAGTAGCGTATTTGGTGGTTTTTACGTGTTTTCTCTCAAAGCCAAAAATCTCCTCGGTGTTACCTGTTCCTGGATGGTCACTTGGTAGCACAGGCAGAAATTTGGCTGAAAAATTAACGCTGCCTCTTTGGTCCAGAAGTTTTTCGGTTTTTCTTTCCGTTGCGTTACAAAATGCAAATACTTGCTCAAGTTGGCTTTGTTTAATTGCATATTTAACTTAGGCAAGACCTGATGCAGCTGTTGACACTGGGAACACCTGGAGGCAAGCTAAAACCAGGGATGATTCTTTTTTTTTTCCTGTCTTATCAGATCTGCATTTAAAAAGGGCTCTTGCCTCTGAAAATACAAATATATAGACACCAAATATAAACTGTGTGTGGTCAGATCAGCGTGTTGACAGTGATGTAGTTTTAAGCGTGCCATGAATCTTTTCAGTACTCAAAAAGTTGGATTTTAAACCCCTGACTGTTCCTTGGTTTTTAAATTACTTTGTGATCATTTTTTTTAGGGGAGAAAATTTAATTTAGAGTAGAAATATGAGTTAGGCTAAACAGTGTTTCTTCTGCTCAGTGAAGAAGCTGTGTTCTAGTGGACTCAACCAGCTCAGCTGATGTAATCAACTGTAATAGTATCACTTTTGGCACGGCTGAGCAGGCGAAAGCTCCTGCCTGTTGGATTTCTGGCGTCCAGAATGGAGCCATCTGTGCAAGGATGCTTTATTTGGCTCCATCCTAGGATGCTCTTAAGGGCAAATGGTTCTGGAGATGCTACTCAAGTTTCCAGTGCATGGATATTTATTTATTTATTTATTTATTTATTTATTTTAAATTTGTAGTTTTGGTGGTTCCATACCACAGGCATCTGTCACCTCATGAGTAATTTGAATTTAAGGCCACCACTGCTACTGAAGATCTTTATTTAATTAACTATATCCAGAACAGAAATTACCTAGATAGCAGGATATTTTAGAATTTAGTTTTAGTTGTTCTGTTTTCCCAAAAATTATCTGTGATGAGGATAACTTTATTGGACCTGCTCTAGGGATGTAAAATCTTGTTCAGTAACCAAGGGAAGTAAAGACACTTGAGCAACTATGTTTCAACACATGTGCATTGTTTTGAATATTAAAAAACATTAATTATTTTAATAGTTTTACGATAAACAACAAGGATAGCTTCTTCAGCAATTCCACGAGAAGTAGGATCGTGCATCATGTGCTACAGAGAACTAAGTATGAAGATGGAAAATCCAAAATGGGTGAGAATGCTCTATTTTTTTCCCTAACTTGTAGCTATAAAATTTTTTATCTTTACTTACCTGAAAAAAAATTGAGTAAACTAATTTTTATTTTCCTTGAAATCTTTTCCTTCACTCAGGATCAGAGGTGAAGCAATGTCCCATCACTGTGTTCCTAAATAACTCAGTGAAAATTGGCAGTATTTTTCTCCTAATTGCCCATTCCTTAAAATAAAATGGAGAGGTTATTATAATTTTACATGATCGAGAGCCACAATAAAGGTAACATATACCTCAGAAAACTGACAGGGTTTTCAGGGACTGAGCCCAATATTTCTGCTGCTGTCCAGCAGTTCCAGTCCAGCACAATCAATGTGCTTTTTATTTGATGATGCATGCATGATTTCCTGGTTTCTCTGCAAGAATTAAATTAAGAATTCAATATGTAGGCGCATTAAAACCTTACGTTTATGAAGATGAAACGAATTACAGAGCTGGAAATCTTAAAAGGATCAACCAGATCTGCTCAAACAGTTGGTGGGATTATTGGTTTATTGTCATCCTTAGCAGCATCCTGATCATCCAACATTAATTTGCGTTCTCAATATGAGACTTGAACATTCACACTACTTGAAAAATGGGGTATAAAATATTTATATCAGAACTTATGCTTTTTCTTTTTTTTTTTAAGGTATTAATAGGTTACTAAACAATGGAACATATGAAGCAGCATTTCCACCACATGAGGTAACCTGGTTAATTTGAATTTTTATTTTTACATGTAGATTAAAGCTTGCACTAGTGGTTTGGGATCCTGCTTTGAATTTGTTTCTCTTACTTTAATGTTGACTTTTAAAATTTTCCTTTCATCGTGTATTATAATATCCTGGAGCATCTGGCTGAGCTAGGATATTATAATTCCTGTTTGATTTTTATGATCTGGACAATGCCTGTGGAATTCTTAGTGAGGGTATCAGTTGTTCCAAATTATTCCAGTTACTTGTATTAAATTATTTCTGCTTACCAGCTACAAAATGTTTTGTTTTTCTGATAGCTGGGGCATTTGATCACAGTTAGGGAGGTCACTTAATTATTTCCCATTTAGTCTTTCCTGAACAGCTCTGGATAATTTCTGCTTGACAATATCTCTTTCAGTCGCTTAAAGTCTACTAAACACTGTAAACCCATTAATTAAAAAAAAAATTAACAATAATTTGTGTATGACTAAAGAGGCTTTTCAGACAATCTTCTGATGCTGACAAGAAAGCCACACGTCTTCAGTCACCTGAAATGCTCTCAGGGGCAGGGTAATCGCAGCTCTGAACTCTGGGGTGGTTTGGGCTGAATGTCGTGACTTGGTCTCACGTTTGGAAGGACTGGGTGCTGCAGGTGGCTCAGAGTAATTTTTTAATACGCCGTTAATAATTAAATACTGGGAATACAGGGGAGGAGGAGTGTTTCAGATAAATAATTTAACAATGTTGTTAACGCTTCAGCTGTGTGTTACTGACTTCAGGGGAAAGCTGGCTGTACTACCAGAAATGCCTGGGAAGATTTCTCTGGCGTCAAAGCTATGCTGTCATATCCATTTTATATATTCCTTTTTTTTTTTTTACCATAAACTACCATTTCCACATTTCAGTTAAGGTTAATGAAGTCGTATTTTTAGGCTGCTTTTATCTCAATTGCTGCCTGACTCGGTGCTAAGGACTAGTGGTTGAACATTCAATTTTATTTTTAATTTTTTTTTTTTTCCTTTGCCACTTGAGCAAATAAGAGCGAAAATTCAATCCCAGTTGTGGGAATGCTGAGACTTGAACTCTATTATTGCAGAAAGAAGCAAGGAAAAAGATATTTTAAAACATGCAACACTGGGTAATGCATTGCAATCATTCAGCCAGCTGACAGTGAGAATAAGCTGATGCTCTTGTTCTTGGGTGTTCCTTGATGGTGCAAAGGCCAGGCTCAGAACTGGCATCTTGGGTGTGCTGTTTTGCTGACTGTCAGGAGAAAGGAGTAGACTTGGACCCTGCGATGTTTAGCTTTGGTTTTTAGCTCGTTCTTAAGCCAGGGGATGGGATCAGCAGGTTGCAGCAAGTAAATGGTGTTCTTTGAATGGTGGGGAGTGCTCGAGATTTCAAATATGGGCTGAAATTCTAAATAGCTAAATTACATGGATCTACCAGGGTCAGGAATCTGTCTGATCACTAACTCTAAACTACTGCTCTGGGGAGCTTCCTCACAACAAATGATTTGGCTCACTAGCAGTTAATTGATCAAATATTTTCTTTCCCATAGCCAAGTGGTGGTTTTTTGGTGTTGTTTTTTTCGGGGGGGGGGGGGGGGAAGTTCAACTAAGGGATATATCCTGCTTCAGAATCAGAGCAAAATTATCAATACAAGAGATTTGCTCAGCATTGTTCTAGCCAATCTGTGTGTTGCCTTTTGGCTGCCAGACATGAGGCTATTATTTTAGTCTGTCACATTATCTGTAAATACCAGACATGGCCTGGGAAGGACTCGACTCCATTTGGGTCAGACTGACTCTTGTGTTTTGCTTTTAATGCCTCAGGAGTCCTGTGTAGCTTCGAAATATTGCCAATCCTGTTGTTTCCACACCACAAACATCTCTTGAAAAACTTTGAAAAGTTGAAATAGGTGAAAGCATACAAACAGGCACATATAAGTTTCTCTTCTGTCAGGCTCCAGATTGCAAGTCCCAAAAATGTCCAGAATAAGAGACCTATTTATTAAAGAGTGTTTCTTTCAAAATTATATTCAAAAGTACCTAAGAAACTTATATATTTTCCCATAGTGCCTAGTAATGTACTTGTATTTCTTTGTGGTTTTGTTTTTTTTTTTTTCAGGGAAGCCACAAAAGCAGACATCCCATCAAAACACACGGGGCACAGAACCACAGACACCTCCTGTACGAACGCTGGGCACGGTGGGGAATGTGGTACAAATACCAGCCTCTCGATTTAATCAGGTATTAGTACTCTGAAAAGTTTCTGTGGTACAAACGGCCTGGCAACAGTGTGCTAACTCTACTCCTAAATTCCTGGTGCTGTTATCAGATAAGACTGGGATTCCCTAAGTTGCTTCTTTTGGGTGGCCTTTTGTGTAGGGCTAATTAATTTCAAATGAATCTGCATAAAGAGCCTGTAGTTCCAGCTGCTCCAGAGCCTACAGTGTGAAAGTTAAAATACAAACCCAGGATATGGTGTGCTGATCAGAGACGCCCCTCGTGAGAACACCTCTGAGAGCAGGCAATTAATTAGAATTATATATAATGTATATAAAATTGGAGTTTAATAATGGTGATGCTTGAATTTCATGCTTTCCTCCTCTGACATTGAATACCAGTGATTCATTTTCTTTGCTGTCAGTTTTTGTTCCTGATCTGACAGTCATAACCAATCATCTGTGGAGCTAAGCATGTGCCATGGGAGAATTCTGTGCTGTATCATCCTTGATTGACTTTCTGATCACTGCTACTTCATCTGTTCTAGCAACTGGTACCCAAGTTTTGAAGAATTAAGGCTCAGTCTTCAGCTTGTGTTTTCAGACTGTTGTTTTCAATAATTATAGTTTGAAATACATCATATTACACGATTATCTATCATAAATGCTTTTTAGAATGGAATGCTTAGATCATACCAACTTAGTTTATTCCTTTCCAGAACTTTTTGTGTCTGTGTAAATCTCTCTCTCTCTCCCCCACCACTCTTAATTAAAAGCTAACTAAACTAATAATGTTGATACTAGTACATCTACTTAGCCATTGCAAAGACATGAAAATTACAGAGGCACTTCAGTTATATCCTTGTATGTTCTCATAAGTCTCAAATGAATGTCACCAGAACGTTATTATTGCCTGAAAAAAACCCACCTTTTGGTAAAGTGACAATTTTGCCATAAACTTGTGGTGGCAGTTAGTTCCTTTTTAGAATTATTCTGCTATTGTGATAATAGAGATAGATAGAAGTCACCATAAGTTTTAACTTTAAACACATATGTTTCCTTTTCATGTAGGCGATATTTTGGTGAAAAAATCGGGCTGTATTTTGCCTGGCTGGGATGGTACACTGGAATGCTCATTCCTGCTGCCCTGGTTGGGCTCTTTGTTTTCCTCTATGGATTATTTACAATGGATTCCAGCCAAGTAAGGTAAGATCCTACATAATAACATGTAAAAAAAAAAATCTTGCTTTTTACAGCAAACTCAGGAGAAACTGTAGAAATTCACACTGTATTAAATACAGTTAAATGCAATAAATGTAGCAGACAGGAAACTATGCTATCTTTAAGCTACTGTTCTCTGTGTGAGGATTGTTTTTCACCATAAATATCCACAAAATACAGTGGATATGAAGTCAAGGGTCAGCCTGTTCTTAGAGCACAGGGACTAGAGCTGTTGAACTGAAAATCTTGTGTTTGTTACATGTGCAGTGGCACAGTTTCAATGAAGGGAACAAGGGGCCATAATCCACTTTTATCGAGGTATAGCTTAGTATTTCAGGCGCTTCTTGGGGAAGACAAAGGTGTGGCATCGACAACTCCTCCTTGTGTGCTTAGGCAATTGGAAAGGCCACTGATAACAGATGTTACTCCTTGCCGTATTTGTTTACTTTAGCCTGGAAGGTGTTAGTGAGGATTAGACAGAAACCTCCTACCTGGAGCAGGCAGAAGACATGCATTAGCAGGCAGGCAGACTGCACACTTCATACTCTTGCCAGAGTCTGGGAGTGTGAGATCATTTCTCTGGTGCTTCTGCATTCATTTAAAGAAAACTTCTGGATAAACAAGGGTAAGAGTTTTAAAATCTATCACTTGATTTTAATCATTTTAACCGCTGCAGCTACTGCAGTGTGCAGGTGCAGTGTTAGCAGCGTTCGGGAAGAAACAAGAGTTGGGTACATTATTCTGAAAAATCTAGACACAGGAAAGTCAGTGGCAATTAAGAATTTAACAGTAGCGCTAGGGCACTGTGGCAGTGTCAGAACTGGCACGTTGCCCCAGATTCAGTATTATTTGGTGAACACTGTTTCATGTGAAATAGCCTTATTACCCCAGTTACGTGGAATCTGTCTGCGTTAGGAAGTGGTGATTCCAAGTACGATAAATTCTGTCAAACAGCCCAATTTGTCTGTTTTGTGTGCCACAAAAATCTAAACTTAGCAACTGATCAAATTAGTTTTGCAGAAGGGTGATTTCCTCAGTGATGTGCCTTCACCTCTCGGGTTCAGGGAGCTGCCATCAACCCCCCTCTAGTGGCCTCGGGCAGGAAACAATCGTTTCTTCTTTTTCCAAACATCCAGCACGGTTTCAGCAGAGAAGGAATAAGCAAATAAACAAGTATATATCGCGGTAGAACTGACCGTTGCTTGCCGTGCCAGCCGTAGGTTTTGTGCAGTAGTAATTCACGGGTGATGCAGAATATTGCCACACCTGAGATCTGGTTTGTTTGGGCAGCGTTACTGAAACGTTCTTTGTCTTGCATGAGTTTCACATCAAGCTCAGTAATGCTGTGGTTGCCATAAGCCAGCACTAAAGTCCTCAAATGCAAAGTGGTAGTCAAAGGGAAGGGCTTAAATAGCCCAATAGCACTCCCTCCATTTGGATTCTCTCAACAGATGATGTGTCACATCTGTCACCTGTCTTTATTCCCAGTTACATGTCAAGTCGATTGGTCCACATAAAAATAACTCTGATGGTTTTAAAGAGTTTGGTTTGGATGTGCCCATAGATATTAATTTTCACCGTTGTAAATTGTCCCTTTATTGTCAAACAGAAATGCCAGGCGTGAGCACAGCGTAGCTTGAGCTGTCTTTGCACCATGTGCTGCAGTCAGATCTCAGACACACAGGCAAGAACAGTACAAAACAGCTTATTTTGATCTCTTAAACTGAAGATTTGAGTTGCAATTGAATAACAATTAACATAGCACCTGTCACAAACACTTGTGTAACAAATGTTATTGCCTTTGCAGAGTAGTATGAGAGCATATGACCTATCGCTGTCAGTATAATTTTGTGAAACTTCATGTGTTATTAAAAACAAATCAACATTTTAACTCAAGATGAATAATACAGAAAATGTAACGTTTATCATCTGAATTTAAATTCAAAGTACAGTACATTGTGGCCTCTTATTTGCCAACAGTTTGCATTATTGCTGAACCATTGTGGCCTGTGATTGAAGTGTGATTTTTCTGTGCTTAATAATTTGGTTTAAAATGTAAGCAAGAAAATTCACTGATGTGACACACACACTAAAATTTCTGCCACTCTGCAACTCTGAAATGCTCTTTCTGGCTTAAGAGCTATCCAGAATGATTTCTTGGTCAGATTCACATTATTTTTAGGCTTTCAGTGAATTAGTGATTGTGATGTTATGTGAAATACGACCAAAGATTAAGATTTATATTTAATCCTTTCGTTATATTTACTGTTATGTCAGTATTTAATGGAACCGCTCATTTGGAAATAATCATAATCTCCCAAACAGTGTTGAAAGTGTAAATTCAGCTTTTTGAAGAAGGAAAGTGTAAGTGCAATGTTTATTAAAACAAATTAGTAGGGATTTCCTGGCATTCATTTTATGCTGCTGCTTCCCTGGTGTGTCATAGGATCATTTCAGGCACGTCATCATTGCTGAAAGGATGGGGAAAGGCAATAGCTGAGGTTCTCTGGGAAGCTTACTCACTGCAGTTTAAAATTTCCTTTGAAATTCATTTTTGCACTTCTCTTAGTTCTGCTTTGCCTTTGTCAAGACAATTAGTTATGGGCTGTGCTTTGAATGTGAATGGTCCCAGTGAAGACAGTGAATTCCTCTTCCTAAATCTTAGGATTCTCAAGCATCAGAATGTGGCTGGAAGATGATGGGGATCCCCAAAATAGGATATTAAAGTGTTTGTTTTTTTTTTTTTATTGGTCCTATGCATAAGTTCTTCTGTAGAAAATAAAAATGCAAGGACTTGAAATACTGCTTCCAGAAATCCCTGTCTGTCGATTATTATGTGTTTAGTATCTTCTACACCACTTAGAAAAATAGGCAGCAAATGGCTTGGAAGGCAGTGAGCAATTTTTTTTTTCTTCTGTTTGTGATATTTGGGAGGGAATTCACCAGTGGGAGAAGTGTAACATGATGGCCAAAAATATTGCATAGCACCCTAAGGGCCCGTAGTTTTCAGGTTTCTGATTTGGGATTAGGCTTTTCAAGGCAAACATTCACTTCTGATTTGTTTTATTGGTCCAGTTTTGTGGCGTGGGCACTGCCAACAAACAGGGAGCACAAATGGTGTAACCTCAGAAAGTTTTGAGAATGCTGGGAGTCTTTTTATATAATCTTTATTTTCCTGTCTCACATTAAAGCAAAGAGATCTGCGAGGCAAATGAAACCGTGATGTGCCCTATGTGTGAGCGCAATTGCACGCTACAAAAACTCAACGAGAGCTGCATTTACGCCAAGGTAATTATTATATTATTATATTATTATATTATTATATTATTATATTATTATATTATTATATTATATTATTATTATATTATTATATTATTATATTATATTATTATATTATTATATTATTGCTATCCAGCTAATTTTTGTCTAAAGACCCCCTTTCATTGGGTAATGGCTGCCCTTGTTTCAGCAAAGCTTCCTGAGAAGTGTGTTGTTTCTCTACAGAGAGTTTTTTTTCAGCCTTTCTAATTCATCTTTCTAATCAGGAAATGATCTGAAACGATCAAAGATTGTTCTAAAATTCTGTGAGCGTTTCCTTATTAATAAATCGTTATTTTCATCCACTTAAATCCCCCGTAATAAAAAATTTTTGTGTGTTTGGTTTCTGCTGCTTTCCCCTGTGGCTAACTTCTCTCCCTTGCTTACTTTTGTAATTGAATTTTTGCTTCTCCTAAAGGAATTCTCTGGCATAATGTGCCTGTGATGTTCTTTGCTCTGTTGAGCTCGTGCATTACAACAAAACTGCGGCAGTGTGAAAGGGAAAATGACTTTTGTTTTAGATTTCAAAATTTCTTACAGATAGGACCAATGTTGAGTAAAACTGAACAAATCTATCTGTGAAGATATTCTTAAAAATTACTAATGTTTGCAACTTCCAAATTTAATTTTTTATTTTATAATACTGATTCACTGAAATATCACTGAAAATGTTGTACTTAAGGCAAGAGTTTTTAAATACTACTGTATCTATAGAGCAGAAAATGGCTGCATGAGGGTTTTTTACTTTTATTTTAATTTTATTTTATTTTTTAACTTTTATTTTACTATTTTTTTTTAATGTGCACTAGAAGTTAAAACTTTCTTAATTGAAATAGCATTGTGCAAGCTATACAACCCATCCCAGAAATCCCTTTTTTTAGAAGATGGTAAGTGCCTCTTCAGCAGTCCACTGCAGTTTAACAGGAAGTTAATACACTTTAGATCCTGTTTTGTTAACATCTCCAGTTAATAAGAAGCAGCTTTTTGTCTTATTTATATTTACACTGGCATCATCTGCTTAAATCACGTACATTTCACATTTAATGCCACATTGTGAATAATTCATTGCCATAGAAAAACTGTGGCAGCCCATCCATGCTTCATTTGTTTTCAAATCAATCCTTTTGAAGAAAAATTCAGATGACAACCAGGGAAGACAAGCAGTTACCACTGGTATTCCACAGTCACAGGCACTCTTTTCTCATGTCTGCAATTATAGAAATTGAAGTAAGCTCCCAGCTTTTCCTGCCAATGCTCTCGCTCTGAAAAACCCATCAACCTTGGATTAGAGCACAGCAAACAAACAAAAATTGTCTCTTTTCAGGATTTGTGTGTTCTGAACCTCCCCCAAGCGTGGGAGAGAGAGAGAGAGAAGTCTCTTTGGGAAGGAATAGGATTGCCATCTGGCCAATTGAGTGGCAAAGAAAAATTAAAAACAACAATAAAAAAAAAGCTCAATGAAGCTTTTTATAAAGGTTATAACTTGTAATGCCTTCACTCAGGGTGGTGTCTCTAAAGAAAAGGTTCACAGCACCTTCACTCATTACCTCTTGGTAGGGACTGTCTGGTTTCCAGCTGGGTTTGTGCTCCCCCTGGTTGCCACCATCTCGCTCAAGCTGAGCAGCAAATATCTAAATGTGTGTTTGCACCCAAATTAGTGAATGAAAACAATCTGGGATGTTAGAAAACTGTAGTCAGATTTCAAATCAAATGGTCCTTTGTACTTTCTGAAGCACTGTTAGTAATGTACGTAAGGGGAACTGATGTATTTAAAAACAAGTCACTGGATCTGCTCTCTGGGAAAAGAAAACGGCATTTCCTGCTTCTTTCTTGTTCCAGAGGTGGAGCTTGGCAGCCTTTTCCTCTGGTTATGTCATAACTTACTTCTCTATCTACCTTCTACATAACCAAAAAGCTGATAGGCAAGGGAAGCTATTCCTGATTCATTCCAGACATCAGCACCCTTATTCTGGAGTAAGAGTTTTAATCCTCAGTCATTCAAGTAGCTCACTGTAGAGCACATAAACGTTGAGTTAATTAGGAGGAGTGGGTTCCTTTAAGTGATTAAAGTTCATTTCCCCAAACCTGCTTATGTCATAGGACCTGCCTCATTTATGTAAGGCCTGTGCTCATGTTTCAGATTATTAAAATTGCTGCCAGGGGTTCTTTCTTAAATATCTGCCATGTTTCCCTGTAGAGGAGCACTTTGGACAGAACAGATTAATGCCAGAAAAATTATATACTTCAAATGCTTCTTCAGCCAAGCTTTTTTGTAAAGCTGGAGACAGAATACAAAAGATGCCTTTATCCTTCTTGCTCCCACCCATTTCTTTCATCCCCTCCCTCTTCCATTTAAAAATGCCACACTGAAGTGAGGTTTATGGTTGAAGGGAAAGGCAGGTAATGCCTGGAATGCTGAATGACCAGGCTGTCATTCTCACCCACATCAGGTGGACTCTTTGATCTGGGATTTGCACGGGTCCTGCACCCTGCACGCCTTGGGCAGGGTGTTGATTCAGGGTGGATTTGAAATGCCTCGAGTTGTGTCTGATGGTGACAGCATCCATCAGGTGTGCTGATCAACAGAGTCCCAGACTGTGCATTTAGCCTTTTAGACTGTCAAGTCTTAATTTAGAGTGTGGTCCTGAAAGACTTTCCTCAACACTCTTTATGAAGACAAAACCGAATCAGGAGCCGAGGATCTGTTTTCTCCTCTTAGCAACATTAATTCTGCTGGCTTAGGTTTTGTTGGTTGGTTGGTTAATTCTGTGTTTTCTTGGAAAGAGGCACTGTTTACTGAGCAGAGTATCCAAACTCATATCCTCACACAGATCTGCACTCCAAACCAATAATGTTCATCAGAGTTATTGTGCTGCTTTTGTTCACATCCCACGTTTTCAGCCTCATGCCCATTATGCTTGTGTTTTCCTTTATGGAAGCAAAAGAAAAACAAAGCAAAATACAAATTTGATTGACAGTTGATCCCACTGTATGATCCAGGGAACATACTGGATTAATTGATGTCCAATACCACATGGGCAATTCCCATTTCCAAACCTCAAAAAAAAAAAAAAAAAAAAAGGAAAACAGAACTCACATACAGATAAAATATATGTTTATAATAAATTCTCACAATATTATAATTTTACTCAATAAGAAATAAAATAGGTGCAAGAAACACAATTGCTATGAACATTTTCTGCTTTCATTAGTTAGTTTTCTTGATTTCTGAGGCAGAAGCAGTAATGCCAGACTTTTCTAGAAGAATGAAAATCTATCTGCAGGATAAGTTCTCCTTTTTTCAATAATATTCCATTTCAAGACATTCTCTTCTTATTTCAAAGAGTGGTTTAGGACAATAGATATCAGAACCATTTGCAGCACTTTTTCATTCCTTTTTCCTCCTTCTTCAGATCCTCTTTTAATATAGGCCTGTTGATGATAAGTTGGTTTGCTCTAGTATTTTATAATGCTTTATGCCTTTTTTTTTTCAAATAGGAATTTGAAGTCTCTGCTTTGCATAATAATTATCATCAATGTCTTAAACCACCCTTCATTAGAAGAAGTGTGGGCCCGTTATCCCTGGATAAATTACGTTGCTATAAATTGGCAACTTTAACTTTACAGGAAGTATAATGACCTTAATGTCAGCTTTCTAGATACAGTTTCATCTTATGGATTGAATATTGGAAATTGCAGATTTTTGTAATATAAATTCTGGTGTTTTCATGCGTGTTTTCGTGAGTTTTGTAAGAATCAAATTCACCCACTCAGATGCTTAGAACGATCCATAGGCATTGCAAAACCTGATTTTCAATCAATACTCATCTTCAGCAAGTATAAATAAATAAATACATATAAATAAATACTCTCTATTTCAAGAGGTATCTTCAATCACTAAGAACAGCTGTTCTGCTCAAAAAAAAATTCCTTTGACCAAGAGTAAGATAAGGAATAAATCCAACTAAAACAAGAGCATTCATGAGATGAAATTAAGTTCAGAGTTTAGAATTATGGGAGCTTCTAGAGGGTGATATATAGAAATGATTTAATGTTTGTTGGAGTTTAAGTGCACAAGCCTTTTAAAAATGAGATGATGTCAACAATTTGAGAGGCTGAATATAATTCCTGGATTAAAAAGGAATGTACACGCTGTTCTTACCTGGAGAGAAACTGAAAAACAGCTCAGGAGAAGAATAAAATGGAATCAAAAGAGACATTAAGTAGAGGAAGAAAAGTGAAGAGTTGTTTAAGCTCATAAAAACTGTAAAATAGAAAAGGTTGAGGTTAAATCTGACCGACCATATATATCAGGAATTCTGGATGATTTTTTAGCCTGTCTGGACATGGACAGAACAGCTCTTGGTGTATGATGATGCATGAAGTGATAGTCTGGAGCTGCAGATTTCAACCTTACTGAAAGATAGAGTGTGACAAACCTTGGTGGAAAAAACATGCAAGTAGGACTGCTTATCAGAAAGCTGAGCTTTTAGCTTCTTACATCAGTTTTGTATTCTGGGATTTTTGGGGCAAAACAGAATGTGGCAATATTAATTGTTCCTGATGTTTTTCTGTTTAGGTTACACATTTGTTTGATAATGGAGGGACTGTCTTCTTTGCTATTTTCATGGCAATTTGGGGTAAGTACATTTTTACTTTTTTTTTTTTCTTTTCATTTTTTAGTTTACCCAACCCTTTTATATCATTACTTGATGCAGGGAGATTACAGCTCTTGATAAAGTCTAAAGAGGGATTTTATCACAAACATATTTTTTCCTGTTTTCATTCACTTCAATTTCTGTGCCAATAATGGGTGAAAATAATGCCTTTTATTGTCAATGTAATGACTGTCTTTAGTGTCACTAAGCCTGAATTTTATATTGATTCAGGCTGAAGTCTTTTTAGAGGCAAACATAGAGGTTAATCAGCCTTTCACTCTCTTCATGCTGGTGGATACATTCTTCTCCTCAGATAATAGAGGGCCACCCTTATCTTAATCCCTCCCCACAGTCTAGATTAGTAGGCATATTTGGGGAAAAGAGGAAAGAAAAGGTGGATATCAGAGTCTTTGTGCAACCCAGGACATCTCTTGTAATAGGTCAGTGTAATAGTGCCATAAAATACAGATTTGATGGTTCCAGCATGAAATGCTTGATGGAATGACCTTTCACTGAAGCTGATAGTCTTTTGCTGCTGGGAAATAGGGAGGAAGAATAGAACTAGAGATAATGAATTTTACCAATATAAATGTTTGTCAGTGTGAATCCTGAGAAAACAACACCAGTTCACAGACATAGAGCTGTCTGAACTCAAGCCAGAGTTTTCAAGTCTTGGATAAAATGGCACACAACAGCTTTATTTATGTAATATATATGAGTAAGCATTAATGATTCTAACTTAAAGTGGAGGATGAACAAGTGTCATGAATTTTGAAGGCTGGTATGGTAAAAGCAGAAAACAATATACAAACAAAATCAAAACATCAAGGAGTTACATAGGCAACAGAAGCACGTGCAAAAATCAGAATTGGATTGTTAAAAATTAATATGATATAATTGAAGGGCACTCTTTGTTTGCCTCAGTGATATTTCTTCATTTACTCCTAATCTTGCTATTGTGGCATTGCAATTATTAATTATTAATTATTTCATAAATTCCTAAAATACATTGCAATTCGCTTTACCAGTGCAGACAACACTTAGCATCTCTTCATCTCTATCCTCAAATTCTCCTTAGGGAGAACTCTTTCTGTTTTCAGCTGAGGGCGAGGTTCAGGTGTAAGGAGAAATTTACTTTATCAGGAAACTGTGAAACAATTGAACTATGCAATTATTTGCATTATACTGCCATATTTTATGCTTTAATTGGACAGAACTAGACCATGGTTTTTAGGATATCTATATACCTAGCAGAGATTCGCTTCTTCTCATGTTTAGTATTTCTTCTGTCTGACCTGTACTGACACGTTTTACATAATTTTTCTACGAGATCACTTTGACAGAGGAGTATAAGCTTATCTTCTTTTTTTTCCCATTGATAGTGATTTTAATTCAGTGTCATCCTAGTCAAAAGTTAGATGTAGTTCATGTTACTCAGTAGTTCCATTCTCTACAGCAAACTTCAAGTAATCCAAACTGAGTAATCCAAGTAAATCTAATTAATTTTGTCATATTCACGGAGGAAGGTACAAATGTAAAGTGGGGCTGTGAGTCATTTATCAGGTAGAAATTATATTGGGACACCATAGTTTCACTTTAGGGTAGTTAAACTGAGGATTTTTTTTATTTGATATTAAAATATCGTTACAATGTCTGCATTGCTGGCAAAAGTTATACAAGGCAGAGTCTTACCTGGATGCTATCTGTCTATATTATTTCTAAAAAAGCAAGTATAATATCCTTCCAGAAAAACCACGGATTGATCATTTAATTACAAGGTAGAACAGTCATGCTCTGCTGCTGGACAGCCTCTTGCACATCAGAGTGTCTTGTGATTTCTCTCTTAGTTTTCAAAACTCTGCACGGTAATGGCTGTAAGAAAACAGCTGCAGGCAAGAATATAATCTGGAACAAACATTATGGTGAAGGGTGGGATGGTGAGATGTCAGCCATGGGAATGCCATGGGATGGGTGCCCTGCAGTGTCCTCCTCTGGCTTGTCTGCTGTGCTGGCTTTGTTGTCTGATGTGCCTCCGAAACTCGTGTCGTACGGTCCGAGTGAGTTGTCCAAGTGGAGAACTGAAGGGATAATACAAATTTTTTCTTTAAAATATATTGCTTCAAAGATTATTTGTATCCCCATCCACCAGACACCTCGTCAGCCCCTCGCAGTTACACCCAGTTAACCCCTTTCTGACATAGGGGAGGGCAGAAGATAAAGGAGCTGATTCACAATCTGCAGATAACTCGTGTGCTCCCATCCACACCCCTTCAGCACCCACATGGGTGGCAGACTTCCAAAGCTGCTTCCTAATCTGGCAGCTTTCAGCTCTTGCATTTAAGGCATGAAAAGGTGTGTTGCTAGAGTTTATTTAGGTTTATTTTATGTGAGAAAAAAGGTGTGTTTAGCCTCCCGGTGTTTGTTTAAACGTTTAAAAATGAAGTCCAGGAACATGATACAAATATTTGGAGTGTGATTACACTTTAATACAAGTTCATATATACTCATGGAGAAGACAAAAGCAATTTTTTTTTTAATTTTTAAGCCTCTTAAAAATATTTCTACTCATAGAAACAGATATCTTTGTCCATCATTCTGTAAGTGATGTTGGATGAGTAGAGAGTCTGACTTTTTTTCAATTAATCAGTTTGGGAGAGTTTTTGAGCTGTTATAGTTGTGAACTTGTCCACAATCCTTTGAGTTCACTGATACTAGATATGATTTTCCTGATGTTTCAGAGGCTAAAAAAATAACTTGTAAGGAGGAGACATAGAGTTAAGGGGAGTATTGGTTAAGCTAAAATTTCAAAATAATAAATTAATATCAGTTGAAAACTAGTTTGACTGGAGTTGATGATATCCTAATAATTCAGTAAGACCAGACCATTTAAGCAGGCCTGTGGAGAAATAAATGTTTATGTGCAAAATGCTGGTGCTGTTCCTTACCTGGGTCACTCCTTGTATCATCATAAAGCCGTCTGTGGGAAAAGGACTCAGACCTTTTCCTACCACATAAAAAATATCCAATCAGGCCAATTAATGCAAATCCCAAAATGGCTCCTACAATGACACCAGCTATTACTCCTCCTTTGTTGGTTTTGTCTGGGAGAGAAAGAGAGAAAGGCAAGGTAGTTAAATGGGAATTATAAATCTATAAAACCAGATGCTTCATTCTGACTTTATAGCAGCTGAGGCTTTGTGGAATGAGGCTTTTCATCAAGGATCTGAAACGCTTGGCTAACTATGACTAGACCAGCCTCTCTGCAGAAACTTTCTACCTCTGTAAAAGGAAACAGACATCTCCATCCTTGAGTTTCAGGGTCATAACTGGGGTTTAGGAAAAAAAAAAAAAAAAAGGTGGCTAAATGAGTTTTTAGTCCAATAAAAAAGGTTCCAGGTTTAATTACTGAATCAACCTCTATTTTTTATTTGAAGAAATAAGCAGTAATCACTCTTTGAATGCAATTATTCATAAGCATTTAAGCCAGCAGTTCAAAATTGCAGCCTCTCAATTTCAAATGACTAAATTTTAGAGTACCAATTTTTGCAACATAAAAAAAATCCAGCAATGCACCTGTTCAGTTAGCAGAATAACTGCATTCCTTCCAGGATTTTCTTCAAGTTTCATAAAACTGTTCTTCAAGGTCCTCAGCTTTTCTTGGAGCTGAACTTGTTCTCCCACCTCTTTTCCTTTTCAATCTGTATTATCTAAAGAATCAGGTGCATTGTAATTATTAGAACTGTGATGGGAAACGTGAGAGTCTGATGCTCCTTTAGTTCTTAGCACAAACTGTACTGTACTGGTTATGATGGATAAACCTTTCAGTCCTGTGTTAAAAGCTTGAAAGGTAATTAATGGCAAGAAATTACCATGCCTTCTAATCTTCCCTTTTCTTTTCCTGAAGACCTGATTCAGAGCAGCAGGATGGAGAAGTGCCATGACAGTTTTATGCTCTGTTGTTTTCCCACGCATCCTTAACTTGGTAATTAAATTGCACAATGAGTAATTCCTTTGAAAGTGTTTAGAAGAAGTCATCTTTGGTCACCAAAGTTTCTGAACTTAAAGAAGTTGCTGTGTTATATGTTTTAGGTGCAGTTGCTTCATCTGCTTTGAAGGCTCACAGCAGTGTGGATAGGCAGTATCTGATCATTAGGTTCCCCCACTCTTGGAAATGTTAAATAAAGGAGTAAACAGCAAATTTTAAAAGTTTTTTAGTTTGGTTGGTTGGTTGGTTGGTTTTTTGTGAGCTTTAGATTTAGTCTGTACTAGGTCACTTATGAATCCACACATCTTATAAAGCCTCAAGTTCAATCAAGTTCAAAAGAAAGTTTTATTTCAGCATTATTATTTTATTAAACCAGTTGAGCTTTAGTTAGATCCTTACCTTCACTGGCATCTTTTGGATTAGGTGATGCAGTAGAAGGGTTGTTGGAATTATAATTCAGCTTTGTTGTCTGCTGAGTGGGCTTGAAATTTGGGGTCGGGCTGTCCTGCTTTACTGTGGGTGATGTGAGAGTGGCACTGATGGGGAACAACGTGGTGGGGTTGATTGAAGAATTATCACTTGGAAGCTCCAAATCCCCAGGAGTAAGGGAGGTGACTGTGGAGTGACTTGGTGCCACTGTGGAATCAGATGTAGCTGCAGCACTTTTGATTGCCCCAGAAAAGTCACCTGTTGTTCTGAAAGTTGCTGAAGTTATTGGGCTCCTGTGGTAGTTGGTGGTGGAGTTATTTGTCCCATCTTTTGGCACATTTGAAGGTAGAGTGGTGCCAACAGAGACCCTCAGGGATGTGGTGTTTACCCCACTGATCGTTTCTCTTCTTTTCGTTACATTTTGATCGGCAGCTGTTCCTACAGCATCGCTGGTGACAGAGGGGCTTAGGGCAGTTGTCCTACGAGGAACAGATCTCTGTGGAGTTGGTTTCACTGCAGACTGAGGGTTATCTGTAATTGAGCTGTTTTGTTTGCTTTTTTCTTTTAC